TTTGGAGAAAATTTATTTTTGCTATCTGGCCAAATTATGAAACAAGCGTCTCCCAACAACTTTTCAAACTGATTGGCACTTGATTTTAGAATTGTGGTATTCTAACATGGTTGGATTGGACTCAGAGGGACAGGGGAACAAACCCTCGCTTCCTTTCATGTGGTCATAGCCACTTGTAAATCAACAGTGAATTTCTTAGTGTCCACATCAAGCCTTCAGAAATTGGGAGATCAGATAGAACTTGAAAGGATTTCAAAGTTGGAATAACTAATGAGCACAAAAGAACATGCCGCAACTTAGACAACCACAGTGAAAGCAACCCAAAGGCAGGGGGGTGGTTGGCTAGTTTTTTTTTATTCCACTTTTTTTGCAATCTTTTTTTCTAATAAAATACTTTTACAACTATAACACTGTGTCTGTTTATGGCGTCAGAAAGTGAACCAAGTATGCTTTAACTTGATATCTCATTGAAGTGTTCATGATAAAGTGTCCCAAACATATAAACCGTGGAGCAACCAAAAAGATTATTTAACTGGATATCAAACATAACTTAGCACATTTAGAGTATCACAACTCATCACTGGAACCTCCAAGGTCAATAGGAGTTGTTTGTTAAAGAAATGTGAACTTAATGAATCTGAGACAAATTTATTTTAGGTCTGTGAATTCCATTTAAAAAATCCAGTTTCAGCAAAGTTAACGAACTTTTTCTCACAACTTCATTAACAAACAACGTACAACGAGCGTGAAAGTTCACATGACAAGCCGTCAAATCTCTAATGAAAAGAAAAACAGCTAAATTTGATGCCCAGTTAATATTATATCTTTTCAGCAGTTGGTCCACTCAAGTTTACATGTAGCTATATGTACAACCAACAGCATAATACCAGTTTTAGAAACTGCAAGTCAGTGTGGCTTTATAGTCCTCGAAAAAGCAAAATGAATGACCGAAAGCAGAAATAAGGATACGGACAAATATCACATGGTGAGCAAGAAAGGTGGTCACAATGCTGTAGAGCTGCAAACTGTTTTGCCAATCACTTGCTTACTACAGTTTCAAGCTGCACAACATTGGTGACAAATGACTTGTTTTCTTCATAACTAATTTGCTGCACTAAAGGAGCTTTAAATGTTCCCTTTTTCCTGCATTCTTCATTGTACATTTTTCTTTCATTTAAGGCCCGTTAAGCCTCACTTACTTGCAACTTCCTGTTATTTCAGGAATTGGTGTATTTTGATTATGATAATTTTTGACCCTTCAATAAACAGCAAGCACAAAGAATAATAAATGAAAAAAAGCATTCCATCTTAAGTGCTCAAAATATAAGCTGCAATCACTTGGAAAAGAAAGCCACGGAAAATCTAGAACAGTAAAGCTTTTCTTAAAGCCTAAGAGAAACTGCTCAGTTTTGACAATTTTATACATCAAAACGTTCTCGGAATGATTTCATTTTCAAACCGAAATCACCAAACATTATTTCTAATTTCATGTTTTCTTCTAGAGACATTGCCATCATAGTGCTGGGGAGTGATTAGTCAGTATATCCTAGTTCCTATAACCAAAGTTTTAATTTTCTTTCTCAAGATCTCTTCCAAAAAATGTATGAATATAAATTTTAAGTTTCTTTTTCAGTTTTTAGTCAGTAATGCTACCACAATGAAAATTCTTTTCCAAATTAAATGCTTGTCTCATAGTTCAGTCAGCTTGAGCTAAAACAGTCCAGGCAACTTGGATGCTGAATCAAAGTGGGTCAAAAACTATCAAAATCAAAATGAGGTTTGGGACACTTATCCACACAAAACAAAGATATCAAAAAAATTAATACCCATCCGCTAAATCTAGGGCTGGTTGCACAAGCACTGATACAATGTTTAAAAATGCTTAAATGATGTGACAGTCTCACAAACCAAGGTAAGGAGTTGCCTCAAGATATCTTTACCAATTTTCTTGCTCAATTTGAAAACAGTGGAAGTCACTATAGCAACGACACATGACCATTCAATGAATAGTGCAGTGATGTCAATGTTCCCTAAATGAATTAGATTGTCAGATTTCATCAAAGTCTAACAAATGTAAATTTTGAGATGTTTGTCTACATTACCTCCGAGAATAAGCAAAGACAACAACTATTACAACGACTTCTGGGCATTTTTCCAAGACCTAATGTTTTTACTGGAAAAACCAATTGCTGCAGTTATCCTATGTCTTTTCATGATAAAGATGTCAACAGAGACCGGAATTTCAAGCTTATTTAGCTTATTTATTTTTTTATTTTTTTTCAATGGCATGTATGAAAACAGTTGGCCTCAGTGAATTTCTTATTCGTAGAAATTGCAGAAAATTTTGGAATTGCCACAGAAAGGAAACTGACGTTTGACTGAAGCACTTTTTTCACTTCAAAGTTCGATCCTAATTGAGATTTGAACTTTAAAACAGTACTTTTTGATAACAAGTTCAATGCACTGTTGCTATGGAAACCTTCATGGCTAGAAATTAATCGCAAAAATTAACACTTGACACCATTTTTCACTGGCACCAAACATGGTGGAAAGAGATTTTTTGTTTACTTCGAATGCAAAATGTTAGATGAAATTAGCAGTAACACACTGTAAATACCTTTGCAACCAGCCCAGTTGTATAAATAGCAGATTAAACATCCAAGTAAAGTTCCACTCATCATCAACCCTAAATACATGTGTAAAATCAGTGGTTACCAATAACACATGCTCTCAACAAAACATTCTTCGTTTGATTGAAACCTGGTTTTTTGCGCACATCAATCAATGATTTCCATGGCTTTTTCGCATGCCTCTCTCATTGTTTCTGCTTGAAAAGCGAAGTTTAGCGAGGATATTTTTCCAATGAGGCCTTCTGAATTTCGCTGATATTATACTTTTTTGCCAATTTAGCAAGTTTGAAAATCAAAATTTGCACACTGTATATTACAGCCATATTTCATAACCTTACTCAGTGAACACTCGCAACTTGTCAAGATAGAGTTTTAGCTAGTTCTGAATTCTATGAGTGATAAGTTGTTAGCAGCTTACAAACTTCAATGTCACACAATGTTCACTTGTTGAAGAAAGCCTCTATTCAGAGGATTTTTTTCTTTCCGCTGTGTTACCTGTATGATATCATTTTTTACTTTTAATTTCTCCTTGGCAATTTGCCCACAGCTTCTGTTGTCATACAATCAAATACAACCCAAATAAACAACATGAAAATGTTTGCATTTACTACAGAAAGTATTCTAGCTATTTCACTCATGGGCCTGCAGAGACCATGCAGTTTTAACTGTAATTATCCATCTCAACGGAAATTGAAAATGCCTTTGTTATTCGAAATTATTCTTGTAGGACAACGATGTGAAAACCTTATCTGGTAGAGGGCATGAGTCAAAACCATGGAAACAGTTGACTGACATCCACAAAAACTCAGGTTTCAAACAAGAGAAAAAATCTTTTCAAGGGCATGTATTAAAAGTACTGGTAACTGCTGTAAATACTACAAATGCATTTATCTGAATCTCTTAAATTTCATAGTAATAGAACACACAAATATCAGGTTAGTGGCATCATTTTTCATGAACAATATTCCCTACTTCTTATTCAGATTGACTGACAACAGGAAAAAGTTTTACTAGGATACAAAGTACTGTGAATATATATTTTCTGTAAAGGTTGGCACAAATGTAAGGAAATTTCATAATGAAAGCAAACACGTTTTGGTCATTATTATCTGGCAAAAAAGAACCAAAACTTCCCACAAAGTTCTTTAAATAAGTCAAGCAATTCACGACCTTTTGTCTCTGGTGCTTTAAACATTATAGCTTCCAAAGTTCCAGAATTTTCAGGTTTAAAAGTCTGCCCCCATGTCTTTTACATTTCCTTTCTCTCCTCCCTTCTTCTTAATTCCTTTTTCTTTCTCCTGGGAATTTACAAGGCTTCATTTTGGTTGGGAAAAATTTGGGGAAAACTTTAAGGATTGTACGGTTAGAAAAGAAGGAAGTGCAGGTAGGTAGCACATCAAACAATTATTTCATTGGAATTTTCAGGTCAACTTTATATGGTGTTTTTGTGTTGTTCTCCCGCCTGTTTGACTGAAATGTGCTCCTTCTGGTATGGTTTTAAAAAACTCTTCCCTTGTGCATTAGTTAGATGACCTTTAAAGCAGATGAAATCACAAGCTAAGCAAGGGACATGGATCCGCAAGTACATATAGTTACGACCAGTTAAGGGTGAATGAGTTAAATTACCAATGAACACTGATTTAACTCCATGAAAAATGATGCCAAATGCAGAAAATTCAAAGAGCAAAACCATAGAGGAATAGGGATATGTTCTCTGATAGGGTGTTGAGCAAAACTTTACTTGGATAAAAAAAGCTTCAAAGAAAGTACAAGAATGATAATCTTCAAATCTGCTGCCAATTTCAGGCTCTAGAGACAAGACTTCAGGATGTCTTGCCATATCTCCTAAATCTATACTACTATACCACTGCTAGTAGTTCTTTGGTGATTTCACCAATAGACCACGTGACTTACAACTTCCAAAAATGTCTTCCACTCTTAATTGTTTCAACATCTGTTGGCATGGTACACCCCCCAATTTCTAACACAGCCAGAGAGATCAAATAGAACCACCAAATACTTCACTGAGTAAGAACGCATTGAGCTGAGCTGGCAGGTTGAGCAATCTCACATGATCCCCGAATGACATAATGGCGACGTAGAATTATACATGTTCTTAAACTGCTGGACAGATTTGGAGAAATTCATCATGTACTTTCTTTGTAATCAAAAAAGAGAAGTGTGCTGAGAGAACAGCAATTAAATTTTAAAACTCCTATATTTACTCCACAGGACAAAAAAAGGAAATGATGTTTTGATAATTAAATTGGAACAAAAATAATGCAGAGAAATAGCAAACTGTACAGGTTAGCAGTATCTCAACACACTTCTTATTGCAGTACTTGGTTCACTTTCAAAGATAAAGCTTATCTAACATGTAAGTGTAATCCAGATTTGTGGCTTCCAAAATTCTTGTGTTCTGTCTTCTTTAAGATTCTCTTCAAGCCTGCAATAAATAAAAAAAATACTAAGAACTACAGTCCTAAAACAGCTCATATTCCACGTTTTTCCAAAACGTCACGTTTAACAGAATCCGTCAGTAGGAACATAGGTAAGAAAAAGCTAAGGAGGCTTTTTTATCAGTCAAGCCAGCTTTCTCCTTAACTGTACCTTCAAAGTTAACTTATGTCTTCTTTTTCCAGAGTAATTTAAGCCAGTGGTAAGCCCCTTTTTGAGCCGGTAAAGTTTGCCAGCAGCCAGCTCTCATTGTCACCCATATTTTAGGGTAAAAAAAATTAAAAATAATTATTTCAAAATGATGTTCTCATAGGCTACCAATCAACAAAAATATGGAGGGGCTGATAATTATCATACAGGTTGTGTTTTCCTCATCCTCAGAAACCCAGATGGTCAGTCACGTCTGACTCTGAGCTCCATGATATCAACTAAAGAAAAAATATGCACCCATGAAAGTGTACACAGTTACAGCTACAGCACATGCAAATTTCTGTGGAACCTGTTGGCCAAGGAACTAAATTGAATCTAACAATCTCTATAAGCAGCAGCTAGATTTTTGGCTGCCAATAACTGACCCACCATTACGTGCATTCACCTTCCGGTTAGCAACTGCAAAGTTTGGAGTAATAGCTGTATGTCGGCACCACAAACTTTTGTACTAGGTACTTTGTTGCTGGGAACTTGATTTAGTATTACTAATACACAACTGGTATGACTGGCAATAAATTAGTGTTTGCATTATTCAATTTGAATTCATGCAAAAATTTACAAAAGATGTTGTTAGATATACTAATGGTTTCTGTTTCTCATTTTCCTATTTCTTCTTTCTCTCTCATAATTCACTCTGTCCGCATGTCCTGCCTAAGATTTGCCATAATTCTGGGCATGCTCAAATAATTGTAAATTCTTCTGAAGACTAATAGATAAAGTGTGATTTGACAAGTCTGTCCCTCTCCCCTCTGTCAGCCAAAACAGCATGAAGGAGTAGTTCTTGTCTAGAAAGACTGGTATCTATTTCTCTGCCAAAAGCCACCTTTTCCTTGTCTAAAATTAATGTTACTTATTGTCACTGACAATGTCCACCATTTTTGGCCTGGTTGTTTAAAAACCTTTTGTCAATTCCCATGATGCATGGCAAGCATGTCGCAACTTGTCTGCGACTGACCGAGTTTTCTACTTGCAGGCTACATTGCAACATCTGAATTGCCTTTTACTTACAGGGTCATTTCTTTCAATATTATCTTCAATTCCTATTCAAGCAATTGTATTTCACTTGCTTTTGTTTTCTTTAATTTTTCGTTATGGGCACATGAGTACATTTTTTAAAGGAGGCCCAGTAAGAGATTATTGTTTACATTAAAGATTAAGGTTTCAGTAGTTTTGCAGATAATAATAATTATAATAAAACTGAAAGTTAACAAAACAAAATGGACTGGTTTATTAGCTGTTTTAGTCTGTAAATAAATTAATATTTTTAAATTATTTTGTTTCAGGTGTTAAACTAGTGTATAATAATGTAAGGTACCAAAACATAGGCCAATTTATAGCCTACTTAACTACTAATGTTTAAGGTAGAGCATCTGCACTACTAACCACTCCTATTGGGAGTGCTCAGATTTTTTATTTTTAAGCCCCCTGTGTTACTGCCTGAAAAAACATCTCTCTTAAGATTTTAATATTTAATTTTCTTTTTTTTGGAAACCTTTTTTTAGCAATCTAGGTATTTTTGAGGCTCAACATCAAACTAATTGCAACAGAATTGATTTCAACGCCACACGCCTACCTACTATCAACATACTAAAAATCTGCCAAAATCCGTTCATTAAAACATGTCAAAATTAAGCATTAAACATTTTGAGCGTTAAACACAGGACACCCTATTTGAAATTATCTGCACAAAATGTGTTTGTTACTTTTATGGAAAACTTAGAGAAAAAATAATGGCTGCTACAGTTGAACCTCACTTTATTATCTGGACCACGGTTATCCAGACTGTTCGATTATCCAGACTTGTTTCCTTGGTCCCGTTTTTTTCATGAATATTAATAAGATGTGATCTTGAAAAACTGAAACGATTAAAAGTTCAATCATCCTTCCAAACATGTGTTTGAAACACTGTTTTAATACTGTGATTCACTTTGAAAAAGCAAGAGCAACATGAGATAAACCATTATTCTGATGTATTCAGCTGAATTCTGATTGGCTCACTTGTTATGTTGCTAAGAAAATTAAATGTCATGCTTGATTCTGTGTTGCTTTACGCAAACATAACACCAATCAATCATAAACGCAAATCACAGCTGTGTCTACGCAATGAAAGCAGTCTGTTCTCTCAATAAAGGATAAGCAAACGATTATTTCACTTTTGGAGAAAGGCAAAAAGGAACAAATGTAGCACTTAAGGTTAAAATCAGCGAGCAGAAGATCTCGTACATACGCAAAAACAGACAAGATCCTGAAATTCACCGACAGCGTCGAGATGAGCGAAGGATTGAAAATACGTGGTACCTGCAGTCCGTACATAAATTGAAGTAAGAGCTAATTCACAACTAAATTTTGTTTTCTTTATTCCCTACGTTTACATTTTTGTCTCATTAATATTCATATTTTCGATTACCCGAACTCTCGATTACCCGGACTATTTACTCAAGTCCCAAAAAGTCTGGATAATCAAGGTTCAACTGTACCTAGTTTTCAGTGATAAAAAAAGTCTTTCTTGTTTCAAAAAGAATAAATATTAAACACAATTGGCTATTGCACAGGAGACCCATGCTACTTTCAAGGAACCCCAAAACAACACGGGGCTTACAAAGTACTAGAATGAGTTGTTAGCTGTAAATTACAACAAATTTAGTCAAGGCTTTAAATCTGAAAAATGAGAGCCTTACTTCATTATTAGCTTTTACAATATATCCTTTTCCATCAGATTTCTTTTAGTCAAAAGGGTAAGAAAAATATATTATATCTAGCTGGATTCTTGAATAACGTCACAGCCAAAATGGAGTTCTCCCTTCGAATTTTTTTCTTTGAAAAACTATCTCCAGAGAAGTCAACATAAAAACAAAGATTGCAGCCATTGCTTTTTTACTTCTCCTCCTTTCTTTCTCCTAGCTTTGTCTATTTTTTCCTTTACCTTTCCTCACCTAATTGACTGCAATTTTAATTAGGTACGTTTTCAAAAATCCAGCTAGATAATGTTTTGGATTTTATGGTTACCTATACATTAATGTTTGTTAACGTGCCAGCAACCTGAAATATACAAGTTTCACTTTTGAAGCTGTTTGTTTTATTCTCATTAAAAGTGAGTTGGAGTGGAGGCTAAGGGAGGGTACTTTTACAAATTCTTTACAATGGACGACAATGGAAAGTTTTTGAGCAGGTAAACCTTCAATGCTTATGAATTGATACTGAAGGAAATATATTGAAACCTCTATTAAGCGGACACCTTCGGGACCTTCCCAAGTGTCTGCTTAATAGAGGGTGTCCGCTTAATAGAGGTTTGTAAAAGTTGTGCAATGTTTGTTAACAATTAACTTTCAACGGTTACCTTGTACTGTGATAAAGTTCCATGTTGTTAATAAGGAAGCTAAGGAAGCTGTGCTGTACTTTGTACAAGACTTTCGGTCTAATCTACAGTTTATCGAGAGTTAAATGTATTTATCTTTATTAATCGACTTCAGTACTATAGATATTTTTTATTTTGTAAAATATTTATTTTAGTGTCTGCATCTGCTTAATAGAGGTGTCCAATGAACAGGGGTTCATTACAAAGGGAAATATAAGACATTAATTTCAGGACCTGGCTTAGTGTCCACTTAATAGAGGGTGTCTGCTTAATTGGGGGTCTGCTTGATAGAGGTTTCACTGTATGTCTTTATTTAAGGAAAAGCACTGTTACCTGCATAAAGAGAATGATAAAGGATAATGGAACATTCAATGCATGAGAACTTTGGTTCCAAAAAAAGTTTGTTTCAAGCAAACAAAATTGTATAATAGGGAAGCAGTTTATCAAGGAAAACATTAACTATGGGAAGCCGAAATAATGCGTAAACTATATAAAAAAATCTTGTAAGAGTCTACGGAGTGATGGAAATTCCCCATGCAGAGCATAAATTTACGTAACTGAGCGCGAAGATTACAGTGTGACTACTATAACCAGGGTCACCTAAACAAGTTTGACCAATTGGATGACAGGAAAATAAATGTACATTCTGAGAAAGTTAGTTGTCAATCATAATTACCACAGAACAAAATCAACAACATGGATCGAAATCAACCAAGTACAACCTACAGACATGACCTCAGTTGAACCCGCTGAAGAAACCATACATTTCCTGAGAGAGCCATTAGAGTGTTGGCGGAGGCGAAAAAAGTAATTGTTAGTCATATTTTTTACTTGAGGTTGCATGTTTATTACAAAGTATGGCAATGGTAGCGAAGAAATTGCTGGTAGATGACAAAATAACAGCTTGTGTCAAACAAATATGTCTCCTGGGTGTAATATGAAAAGTTTCGAATAGAATAGCATTGTCTGGAGAGACATTTTGCTTTCTTGAAAAACGTTTGCTATCAATAGAGACCTTAAGATCGAGGTTTGGTCATTTTACTACAAACAACAAACTGTAGGTTGCGGTTAAAATACCAGCCACTAAAACTACTAAAATACATACTGCATTTCGGCTATTAAGCAAAAAAAAAAAAACAATATGAATATTTTTAAACAGTTACATGTAACTTGAGTTGTCTTACAATTTTGCATCTAAACATCATCAGAAAAAAAAACAGAAACAGAATGCGAAGACAGACTTGTGGCTATGTAACCTATGCAAAGATGTCAAGACAAAACACTGACCCAAGTTTTTCAGACACATTTACTCGGCATTTTTTAAAACAAAACTACCCAAAAGACATTAGCGACGTTGTATACAAGATTCTTATTAAAAAACTCAGTTATCACACTTTTGTCTGACTTGGTGATTTTCCTGAAATTGGGTTTCCTGTGGTGAAAGTTGAAAATTTTTATTGCTAATTTTTTTCTTGCTTCACCCAATGGATTTTGGCAGATTTTTAGTGTTGTTAAGTAACCATCCAACAATTAAATAGCGCTGAAAAAATTTTGTTGCAAAGAAGGATTCCACGTAAGAGGGACCTTCAGTTGACTCCTGATACATGTAATTCGAACCCTTGCTAACTCGCACCAAAATCAATAATTTCCCTGGGATTTCCTTCACACATTTACTGTATTTTACCCTCAGTAGCTTGAACTGTCGATAACTCAAACCTCCCGCTAACTCAAAGTAGTTTTTGTTCCCCTTCAGATCATTTCTACACAATTTTACCCTCCAATACTCAAACCATGTTTTAAGCATGTGACAAAAATTTCGAAAAAAATGCAGTGAACTGCAGTCCAAAACATTGAATTTCTCTCAAAACAATTGTGTATTATTTCTCTTTAAGCTTCTTTACTTTTTTGTCAGTCCAATTCAAATACAATGTTTAGCACTGTATTGATTAATCCAGCTTTGCTGCTCAATTTCTTATTCAAAATTTCAATATACCTCTTGCTGCCCTTGAAGTGATGTGTACATGACACTTGCATTCCTCCCCCATCCCATTTCCTTGCTTCTGGTTATTTGCTTCAAACTCCCAATAAATTGAACTGTTTTCGATTTCCATTGAAGTTTCGAGTTATCAGGAGTCGACTGTATGTCCACGTAAATGAGACAACAGCATTGGAGCTACTTGCCAAATAGCCAAAACAAAAGTTACAATGTACTGTCGTCATTTGGGTAGAAGGATTATTTCAATGCCACATAGCAGCTGAGCATATTAAAGTAGCATTCACTTTAAGATTATGCTCTCAGTTTTAAAGATTTGTAATAGCAAGTTTTTAGGAGAGGAATTCTGTGTAAGTTCTGTGATGAATTTGGCATATGAAACAATTTTTGCCACTTTCACAGGGAAAGGCAAACTTGAACATGGGACATCTGATAAACAACTTCATTTTTCTTTCAACCTTGATCAGGGGTGAAGAGGGCAAGTTGCCACTTATAATAAACTACTTTTATAAAAAAACGGTTTGAAATGCATCATTTATGTTGTTGTGACACGATGATAGCTACAAAAGAACATGTTGATACTGGTGTAATTTAATGAAACGGTAACACAAACAAATTAGATAATCAGCCACAAATTATGTTAACTCAGAAATAGTATTGTCCCTAAAAAAACCCAGATGTGCCAATGTATTAAGTAGCCTTACCTTTTAGTTACTATTTGTATGGATGGACTGTTATTACTTTGTCACACAAACCGTTACTTGAAACATATACAGTACAAACATCTACATCTACATTTATTAATTGACAACGCTTTCGCATCAAGTCAATAAAATCATGTATGGCGTCTGGCTAGAACTAATTCATTTGGGTAGACTTCTTTTTATTATGTTCTTGTTTTGAATGTTCCCAATTTTCTGAGGCAGTTCTGCATGAATGTGAAAGCATGAGCTGGGGTAAAAAAAAAAAAAAAAAACCCGCGAAATTCAAAAAGGGCCCGCGTGTCCGATTTTCAAATTCAAGGAAAATAGTTTCAAACTAATGTCTTAAAATTGGAGTCACCCGTACAATGTTTGCCGGTTTGGTTAAGTTTTTGCATTAACGTTAAGACATGACATTTTACCTCCTAAATGATTAAACAGAGATAACTTACTCGGCCAGACGATTCTGTAAAGCCGTCGGTGTTAGGGTCATGTTAAACAGCGTGTCCATTAATTTAGGGTGACAGAGAGACATCACACACCTACAAAAAAAAGAGAAATCTTTTCCCTTTACACTTGTAACGTGACTAAGACAATACTTTGCAAATTTCAAGTGAAAAAAGGGAATAATTGCCAAAGTAAATCACCTCCTTCACGAAAGCTCCGTCCACGTGGAACGCTGAAGTGTTATGATGTACGCAAAGGATCTTGGGTGAAAATGTGGCACGTGACTGCCCACGTGGTAAGCCGGCCAAACAGCCTTTTCAGGGGGAGTTATGGGGTTAGGGTCAACCCCTTACGGGTTTCTGGTTAGGGGAAGCGGGGGGAAGGCCAGAACCAGAGAAAAGGGAAAAGACAGAAAGGGAAATAAAGACTACGCTAGATAACGAAAAACTACTAACCGAATCCATCGGGAGCAAGCTCTCCATTTATTGCGAGCTGCAAAGCAGCGTGGGGCGGAGAGTTTTCTTTCGCCGCCCCTCGCACACGTGTCTCCTTTCGCGTGCTACTTCTTGCGTGACTTCTAACGACTCCTCCAAATGGAGAGCTTGTTCGCAGGCTAAAACATGGTTAACCTCACCAAGAGGTTCCCCGTTCTAAGCAACACACGGGTGACGCGAATTCCGAGACAATTTATGAACTTACGCTGAAGTGTTTCGCTGACCCAGGCTATCAAAGGCTGCGCAATGGTAAACACAGAGCAAGTTATCTTTCAAACCAAGGACGTAAGCAACGTAGTGAAATTCTTTATGGCTAACCTTCTCACGCCATCCGTCCAGTTTTGCTCCTTTCCTGATCTTTTTAACTCCATGTACGCCGTTTTAAGTGGTTGCTTTAATCTAAAACAGCTAACACAAATTAGGTGAAGTATTCCTTAAAAGTCCAAGGTTGATCCCAATATAATGCAACCTAAACTTATGTTACGGTATTTTCGCAGACTAATTTCTTTTTAGAAAAATTTTATGCTACTTTTTCCTGAAAAAATGAAAACCTCACTCTGTACTGTGAAACGACAACAGTCAAACCAACAAAAATATTAGTTTCTGTACTTTTTTTTTCGCTAAATAGCTCGTTCGTCTCCTGAAATAGCGATTTGTCTTAAAAATGAACCAAAACCAGACAGATGGCCATTAAACCGGTAAACTGAATACCGATACAGTGGGTGGGCTTCTGCTGACTATCGTTAGAAAACTGGGTACGATCTTCTAATGCACGCGCAAAGTCAAAAGCTCCATTGTTACGTCAAATAATTATTGTGGTCGTGGTAAGGCAATGAACAAGTCATACTTTTCTGGCGGGAACAAAGACTTTCCTCCCCTAGGATAACAGAGCACATTCGCCACGTAGACTCGACAAGGGAAGAAAAACGTTATATTTAACGTGAACCACTCTCAACGAAAAGGTAGGAATTGCCTCCATTTTTAAAAGAACTCTTTCATCTTTCAAGTCAGTTTCCTGAAAGCGATTTTTTTAACCAACAGACTTCTGTGATTTGTAAACACGGTTTTCTTTATCTTACTTTTCTAATCAGTTAAACTGAATCAAACCAATTGAATTAAATTTCGATTATCGATGACTTACCATAACGATGTTTAGACACATTATTTCTTTTTCCTCTGATCATAAACAAAATTTGGTCTCCATAGTGATTACCACTCACGTAATTTGCGCGCGCGTACACAGCGCGCCCTACAACGGTTCTCTACAGCTTTCGTTACTTTTAGGGGACCGTCGCTCTAAACAGCAAAAGAGCAAAACAAGATCTACTGCTGATACCTTTTAGAATTTTCCTTCCCTTCATCTCTTTAGAATGTTCACTTGCATTCGCAACTAAAAAAAAGGAAGACTCTCTTTTCTTCACACGGAAAAGCGTAAATTGGCGAAACGAAAAGAAATCCAAATGAATGGATGGAGGAAATGGACATAGAAACCCACACCAAAGAAGCTTTCGAACCCACAAAAAAACACCACTCACCATGCCGCTTTGCGATGAGGTTCAGTTTAAGAATGTACACTAAAAACAATAAAAAACAATTGAACTGACATTCCAAAATCATGGATCCCGAACTGCAAACATCAGCGCCCAGACTCACAACAGTCCACTGGAAGTCAAATTATAATTTGTATGAAAATTTATTGTAAAATCGGTTAAACGGTTAAAAGTGCGCATAAACTGACATTTAAGGGCACATACCTCATAAAGGGTTGTGTCTGTTATTTTCGTACCATTTCCGGCCCTATAAACACCATTTTTGTAAGTTCTGATGTTCTGGTTTCTCACCTACCAAGAAGAAGAAAAAGGAAAACTCCGCTATCTTACGCTGCCCGAAGAAAACGCGAAAAAAAATTAGCTTCATTCCACTCTAATCGCCTTTTAAAACTTCGCTTGAGAATAGCTCGAAGATTTTCCTTCCTTGAAAATGTCATTTTAGTTCCAAACATTGAGCCATGGTCTCAAAAGGACGAGAAATGTAAACAATCTTGTATTAGCACTTCCGAGAATGCACTCTTCTTCGGACGGCGTGTACGGGTCATGTTACCCTGGGTGCCAGAGGTTTTTTCTCGCGTGAGAATGAGAATTTTCTCGATTTTGTGTATAGGTTAGAATTATGAATGGCTAATGCAAAAATGGGCTAAGAGAAAGAGATAACGACGTCTTTTCATTTTCTCGGGAGGTAGCAAACCATAACACCAATCGCACTTTGAATTTTCGGCCCGAGCTTTTCAAGATTCAGTCCACTTCCACTCTATTCGTCCTTGTACAAATACAGTTTCTGGCATTTTTGTCGTGCCATTATAACAACTTGTAGCAAGAACAGGCCTTTGTATTTGATAAACCATTTCTGTTGTCTAAGTTAGCACTACATATTGGTGATATTTTTAATCCCTTAAATAGAGGCTGAGGGATCATGAAATTTTGGGTTCCTAGGAGTGGACTAGGGGCGTATTAGAGGTTTGGGGCCATCATGCATGGGTTACGCTCGGAAAAGTTAGAGAAGTAGAAAGTTGGTTCATTTTGACAAGGATATTGTAGTCGCACTTTACAAAAAAAGTTACGAGCTATAACAAGACAGCATAAATCAATCCAATCGTGTTAACAAAACACATTTATTAGGGATTCTACCTAATGGTTTTGTGCCAGAAAAATTGATAAGTAAGAATTATAAGATAATTTAACATATCACTTTCAAAAACAGTTACAATTATAAAAGATAAAAAAAAAAACGATTGCGAGTGCTAACAAATATAAATACGGTTAAATCGGAAGGTAAAACTTCTTTGTGTTGTGTAAACTATCGTAGAAAGGTTCCTTTCGCAAACAAGAGAACCGTCAACAATAATGGCGGTAATCACAGCCACGTACATGTAATCATAGATACGCAAATGACTTGAAGAAGATGTATGTGGTGTTTACAACTACAAAAAGCGAGTAATTTTTTAAGGGCGAAGTTAAAACAACTGTACTCTAGGGGTACACACCATTTCACAGACATTCGTGTTACTAAACTGCGCTTAGAATGCCGCTATGTCTTGATTGCTAGACCATTTCCGCGAGAAACACACAAAGAATATTTTTACTTGCGAGCACACCATCAGTGAGAGCAATGCTGAAAAGATTAATACTTGAAAAAAATTCTTCACGAATAAAATTTTGATCACGAAATTCTCCAGGTATGTGCTAGCCTGAAAATCACCTAGATAAAAAATCAACTTCACCCGGTTAAGAATGCCTTGGTTTGGAGCTTTCATTTTACCTGGAGAGAAACAGAGAAATATCGGTGGGTCAGTGCGAGTCCTTCTTTTTAAGTACACCTGCTACGATACGAACACTATCCTAATCGCCGTGGTTTATAGAGTAGATGTTGTGCATCATTAAAGTATTTTCCGGTTTGATATTGCACGTTATAGTACGGTTCTATGTTCTCCTGCTTCAAATTGCACTTAGCTCGGTGCCACTCAGATGTTCTTAGGGTTACGTTACGTGTTCCTTCACCACGAACGTCTGCTAAACCGAGCAGCCAATTCGGTTCACCTTCGTTTGCAAAAACAATTATTCTGTGGCACGGTTTTGCAGAACATAGAGTATGATGTAAAAAGAATAAAACAAAACAATATCAAAGCTGAATCATTGGAAATATTTAAGTATAACATATAATATGAAGGTTTAAGTACTAGTATTAGCAAGTCATAAGGAAAGCGAGTCCCTTTGCATAGTGGGGTATACTGGTAGTAAATTCAGAAGCTACTGGATTAAGTCTAGGGCCCTAAAAACTGAAAAGTAGCCATTCTATTGTCGCTTGTTTTTCGTCGATGCAACATATCAAATTACACATGTTTAAAACAACTATTGCTCTTAACTAACTTTTAAAACTAACTTCCGAGAAAGGATTATACAACCTTAGGTGCACACAATAGAAACACCCAATAGCGAAATGAAACATTACTGAACAACCTCAAACAATTTACCTAAGCTTAATAAAACACACCTATTACAGTTTAACAAGTCATACATTAGTTAATACTGATGACGGAGAGGTTAAAAATCCCGGCGCCACTAGGTTCTCTCGTCTTCGAGGAAAAGAACCTGCGAACAAGCTAGTCATCAGACTTAAAAAGATTTGTAAACTTTTCAAATCCTAATTTTGCTGAAAATCTAATTTGACCTTGTAAAATCACTGCTCAAAAACATATATAAGATGGTTATAATATGAAACATATCAGAAACTTATCACCAAGGATTAAATGCTATGAGTTGTAAAAAGATCCCCCTTATCAAGACCAAAACAAATGCATTAGCAATGGTAATGAGAAGATGCGTGTTGATAACATAAAGCCTGTCAGTTAGTAGTACCACTTGTAAAACTTGGCCGCGTCAACTGACGTCATGTCCCTCTCAAACAACAGCAGCAGTTCACAGTGTTTGGTGTGCGGGAACAGATCTACTGGGACGGCCTTCACCAGCCTGAATGGTGCTGTTTTGATTCTCTTCGATGTTGGTCTGCACAAACTAAAAGAAGAAGTACACATTAGACCTGCCTAAAAACGATCTGTACAGTTCAATGACTAAGAACGATTCAGTTTATTTGCCTCCACATGCGACCACCTCACTTAAGCAACCAACCACTATACAGTTCAGTACCAACAAAACATTTCCCCAGTCAGAGCAGCGAGAAAACGCCGAAACCTTCCTCCAACTTTTTAACCCGGTAGTCGCTTACAAGAGCTTCGACTGTATTTTCCTTCCTCGTACGAAGTAATAACATTAATACAATAAAGAAACACACAAACACAAACAAGACCTGCATAGCAGTAATAGCCGACAATAAGGTTAGTTTTCTTGGGAGGAGGAGTTGGGGACGAGCTTCAGTCTCGTCAACACGACAAATAGGGAGGGAAACATTAAAGATAACCATACTTTAATATTCCTTAGCATAAAATACAGATTTCTTACTCAAGAAAGTTAACGAAAGCTGCACTTGGGTTGCAAGACACGTAGATTAGCTTATCCATTCGACGGCTCTTCCTTACAGCTGCAAGAACTGACTGGTCTGTGAGACAAAATACACAACAACCTCGTTACTATGGCCTCTCCAGTTTCCATTGTTCATACAAGAGGAGGGAGCCTGGACGCAATTACTACAGATTAATGTACTTTTGAGCAGTACAGTAAATGAGGTGTCACGCATTCACGCCGTTTAACTTTTATAATTTCACTAAGATTCTCGAGTGTGACCATTCTAATGAAGCTGGATCGCAGTAACTTCAAGGTGGCTTAAAGCTTTGGGTCTAATTAAATCTTTGAGTCTGCTTTAAATGTTGCTTAATTCTACTTACGCAGTCCAGCACGAGGCGGGTCCATGATGCCAATGATTTTTGTCTTACGTGGCATGTTTTTGAACACGTCAACGATTATGTCCTCTGCCTTACCACAAACAAACTGAGCATTTGTGACGCCTATAGTAAATACAGTACAGGTAAATTATTCAGTGGCATTCTTAACGATTACATAATTTGGGGCAAAATGCATGTAAAGGCACAAACCAGCAATGACGCCCACTGGGCCAAAGTTAATCCCGGTTTCAGTAGAAATAGGCCCAGAATGAAACGGAATGGAAGACCCTGTTCCTTCATTTGGAGGAGAGGAGAGGAGAGGAGAGGAGAGGAGAGATATATTTTTCATCTACATGTCTTTTGTTCAAGATAGTACAAGTATAGCCCAGGTGAGGTGGCAGGCGTGGAAAGGGAACAAAGGTGAGAGGATCAGGCTACTAGGCTGTCACTAACCCCCTTTGCTACCCCCCGCCTCCCCACCCCCCCTCCCTCACAAGTTCCCCGTTTAATGAGATGTTAGTCCATCGTAGGTTACCCTCAGCAATGTATCGACAGAACCAGGGTGCAAAGAAAATCATTTTCACAGCTTGCCATTTGGGCAAGCTGAAGCTAGCAATTACTAGCCCAGACGTCATTTCAACTAGCCCCAAAATCTTTTTGATGAGCAGAATTGATTTCACAGTTTTTCTCGTATTCGATTTTCTCAAAAAACATCACTTACCCGTCGGGCAAGTTAAAAACAGAATTCACTAGCCCCGCCCGATAGCAAAATCCACTAGCCCCGGGCTATCGGACACTTCTTCTTTTGCACGCCGAGAACACACTTACACAACTGGATGATAGAATTAATCAGTCAACATAAGGTGGGTTTTGGAGTCACGGAAAACTGGAAGAAACTGTCACTCACCATTGAGTTCTGCGTTTGCCTTTGCATCCTTAACAGCGTTTTCGATGATTTCAACGCCAATCACACGTTTAACACTCTGAAAGATAAAATCATAAATTCAACAATCGGTTTTGACGCGTCTGTTAAGTCACCCCTTTAATTAAGCCCCAATCTCTACATACTTCATACAGATGGATCTCCATACATTTCCTGAAAAAAATTGATAAAAGAAGAAAGAAATTTCCCTTTGATGATAATTTTATTAATTCTTTAACCTTTCCTCTTGATTATGTATTGATATTGTTGGGAAATAATTGATGTGATCACGCTTGGGTGTAAACCCTTTGACTGTCAAATGTGGCCAAAGGCAAATTTCGACCAACTTTCCAAATTTTGTTTTTTTAAAATTTTGACAAACAAATAGCACCATGTTAAAGTACAGGCGGAGAGGTTTCATTTGAATAGTCACATCACAGGATTTCGTCCACAGACTCAAAAGTTATAGTCACCTTACAAAACTCCATCAAACACTCTGGCAGTGAACGGGTTAAAGGGCTATACATGCAGTGAATAGAGCATACGTGTAGATTATGTTAATGTGGTGATAAATGAACGGTTTTGATGTAGCACATAACTGAATCGACAGACAGAGCAAGGTGGAATATATTAGCCACATACAAAAACAGAGACGAGATAAAAAATGCCCTAGTGCCCTGCTGTTGGATAATTTGCTGTAAATGATGTAACATATGAGTACCTGAGCTAAGCAAAGTCCAAGTGCACCAGTGCCACAGCAAATGTCTTGGAAAAAGGAATATAGAAATAAAAAATCAAAACGTTCGAAAGTCACATGACTGTTAAGTGTCAATACTCTTGTGTTGGACACAACATAGTGTTTTAAAAGAAAGCAAGTTAAAAGTTAGATTTCGCTATTCCATAGTCACTTTAAACATTTTCAGAACAAAACAGAAAAGAGGTTGCGCCAAAGCCAGGGGAGGAAGGGGACACTAGTCTTGCCATGGAGCAAAACATATCCCCCTACTGAAGTACTGCCTGACCGTACTTGAAGCTGTCCCATTTCTGTCATTTCGTCATAAAGCAGTTCAGTCTGTTACACGCGATACTCATTTGAGTTCTATTTCCTTTCAGGAGTGCATTATGTTACACAGAAAATGCAAAGGAAAATTTTCAGCTGAGTCTCTTGGAAAGGTAAATTAAGCTGAGCTAAAACTCAATGTTGTTTCAAGCCAAGCACAGACACTAGAAAGAAGAGTTATGGGCAGAAATAGAATTGGAGAGGGGGGCATCAACCTGCGTATAACAAGCCCCTCTTCTGAATAAAATCGTTCTTTCCTACCGAGTACCACTGTCTCATCCAGGTTGTCCCCACACCATTCTTTCAACAAGTCAAACAGCTTTTCAGTTGCCTTTGTGTTAACTAAGAGAAATCCAAACGATCATAATTAAATCCAAGCACAACAACAACAACAACAACAACAACAACAACCCAGCTCAAATTGCTTTGCCATTTGTTGCATTTTCTTTGTGTTTGTTCAATTTTTGCACAGTGAACAATTTCAACTAGCAAAATAATTAAAAAGTTAATTGGTGATGATAGTGACATTACTAAAGGGAGAAGCAAATAATATTTTATCCTTACTGGAATTTCAAGTTTCAATACAAATCATTTTAACAGGCTTACCTTGAAAGAACGAATCTGCAGAGATTCTGAACTTCAGTCCACAAAGCTCTTCATAAATGTGCTAAAAAAATAATATTGAGGGAGGTACCTTTGTCAAAAAAATTTCCTTTAACGAATCACATAAAAACATCGTTTATAATAACCATGCAATCCCACGCTTAATTACATTGCATATTGCTGAAAGTTTTTTGACCACGGTCTCTTAGGGACAAACATGTATAGCTTCAAGTTCTTAGCAAAGAGGAGTATCTTCATGTCATCTCAGACAGGATTTACAATGTTTGCTTCAAGCGTGCCTTTCCTTCAAAAGCCTTAGCCCTACATTCTGCTTTAAAGGTCCAGTAAGGGACATGGCTGAACCCACCTCTTCACCCATGATGTGTACAAAAGGAGCTTCTGCATTACCACCAACAGCCCTGCAAAGGAAATCACACCAACACTAATAAAATCAACAAGTTATGTAAGTAATAATCAGTGTTCTCACCAGGCCGCGGGCTTGTCGAATTCCCGCAAGAAAATCTGAGATGGCGCATAAAAAACCAAGCAGATGCGCTACGTCAACAGTTATGTACATGTAGTTTTCATGGTCAACCTAACATCCCAGCATTTTGCTTGGTTGTATGAATAAAATAGACATGATATCAAAAGATTCAGAGTCTTCAATTTTATTTCCTTACTTTCGTTGGTCTCTCATACATTGTGACAATTGGTGCATGCACCGTAATCGAATCGTAAACACCCCGTCTGCCATATTGGATCTGGTAAGTAATTCACCAACAGATCATGAAGAATCACAAAGAATTTTTCCACACCAATCGTGGGTCACGAGTAACTTTGTCCCCCTAATGTTCTTACAGGGCCCCTATTTCTCAACAGAGGGGGCCCTTGGACTCCCAAGGCAAAATCCTGGTGACAACACTGGAATAATACTATACGATAACAATCACAAACACATAACTGGGAGCTACTAATTGACTGGCATGCAGTTGTTTTAAGCTACCCTCAAATAATAATGATTCATAATTTAAGCAACACAAACCTCGTAGGGTTTATTTGAAGATAAAGCGATGTGAGCTGAACGTCTTTGCCTTCCCCAGTTTTGAAATACTCACAGATACGGTTTTTCTCAGCTTCAATTTCCTCCTGAAAAAGAATAATATCAATAACATTGAAGGCCTGACCCTGAGACAGGGCATGCTCATGTACATGTACAGCTGTATAAAGTTCACAAGGCATTTAACAATAATATATTACTTTTGGCTAACAAAATAAGTAGCCTGACTGTGAATATAGCTATCCTCTTTCACTCCTTGCCACTAGAGCTAGAGACGTTTCATGGAGATGGCTGTATTAGCAGTCTAGCAGGCACAAAGTAAGATGAAAGTTCAAACATTTTACCTGGGTCATTTTCTGCTGACTGAACTGCAGAACTGCCATCGTGTGGCCAAACATGGATGTCCTAACTGTTAGCGTCTGCCAATAGCTGCAAGCATGAAGAACAAAACAGAGGAGTCATAAACTAGCCATGGCTCTAGTTAATGATTGGTTCTTACATGTAACAGAGTGTGCCGTTACTAGACAGTCCAACAAGAACTGAACTAGGATTTCAGATTCAGAATTAAGGACACAACACAACAGGGCTTGGCTCTACACAAAGACAACAGAGATTTGTATACAGTGGACTCCCGATAACTAGAACCTTCAAGGGAAATCGAAAAAAGGTTTGAGTTATCGGGCGTTCGAAGAAAATAGCCAAGAGTAAGGCAAAAAAAACAGTTTTTACTGCACAGTGAACATTTCAATCACATTTAATTGTAGAAATGTCAAGTGAAAATTAAAAGATACTTCTAGATTATATATAAGAACGTAACGTAACAAAACATAGCCTAAATAGAGCATGCATTTTACTGTTTTGAGAAGAAAAGCTGCTTCACGTTACCCTTTGACAATCAACATCAGCCTCCACCAGTAAACTATACTACTATAACACGTCAATAGGAAATCAAAATTGTTTTGGACGCCCATAGACGGCTTTTTTCCCCGACATGGTTTGAGTTACCGAGGGTAAAATTACAGTGAATGTGTGACGGAAATCCAGGGGAAATCGATTTTGGTTCGAGTTAGCGCGAGGTTCGAGTTATCAGGAGTCGACTGTACATTGTACTCACTACCTGTCTTCTAATTGGCTAAGAGCCTACAGCTAATTTTGGAAACCAGCACAACCAACAGATAAGTTAGTTGTCTGCTAGCAGATAACTGACTAATCTGTAGGTTGCGTGTGCAATGCACGATTTCCAGTAACAATATCAATTCAGGTTCCTTTCGACAGTGTGTTTGTTGTTATTTTCTTCAAAACAATGTATAAAAAGGCAATTATTAGATTCAGTTTTTGTGATATCCTAAATTATCAAGGTCTCAGGTAAGTGTTATCAGCCTCAGCCTTTGGCTTGGCTGATAACAATTACCTCGCACAACCTTGATTATTCCGGATATCACAAAAACCTCATCCAATAATTGTTCATTATTAGGTACATACTTTGCAGTTATTTACGTTTAATATTGACTATAATAATTTCTTTGGGCAGTATTTATATCAATCTTTGGGAAATGAACAAACCCCTCTTGACTAGCAAGGTTAAGAATCCTAACTGGCTGGAGACGAAGAAGTTGTCTTTTAGCAAGCATAGCTGAGAATATGAACTCAGGACTTATGAGAACAAATCACGCTTGCTTGGACTCAAAGCCTCTCTGTAGCCAGAGTATCACTTGGACCACTCAGCCACACTGCCAAGCCATTTTCATAAGCAAAACACAGTTGGGACCCTTTCCATAGTTATTTCAAAGTTACCTTTATACAGTACACTAGCCAGGAATTAAAAAAAAATTAAAAATGAGGACTACTACTTTCAAGACTCTTACTTAACTTAAACAAACCAAGCAGCCCAATGTCAACATAGAGATCATTGTCTAGTCAATTCAAACAAGTCCTACACTACTATTAAGATTAACTTACCCTGTGTGAAAGCAGAGATCATACACAGGCAACGGAGACTGCCTGATGTAATTCTCAAATGCCTGCAACAAAACATTATGGTTCTCAGTTTTCAACATAATGCCACAAATTACAACTTCTACCTTTTATTTCAATTAAAGACTTTAATTTCCCAGATTCTAGACTTTCTGTATTGAATGGTTTGCATTTTTATTTTTGATGATGTGACAGAGAAAAGAGAGAATTGAAAGTTTATACAAGATTTGGTGCCATAACTTCCAATATGGGTGTGTTCGATTGGGAAATCTGGATTTAGATTTTAAAATCCGGATTTCGGATTTGCAATCAAACACGAAATCCGGGAGTGGATTTCAATGCTGAAATATCTGTTTTTGGATTTCCTTTTTTCCATGCGATTGGGAAATCTGAAAAAGGAATTGAAAAACTGTCCCTTAGAACAGCCGTCTTGCACGCCCACGCATAATCAGCAAAAAGAAGACTGCTGTTCACAAGAATAGTGTTGCAAATCTTTTTTTTGGATTTCCCAATCGAACGGTAAAAAGGAAATCCTTGAAACCCGGATTTGGATTTCTTAATTGAAATCCACCCTGAGGACGGATTTCTCGGAGGTGAAATCCGGATTTCAAAATCTACATCCGGATTTCCCAATCGAACGCAACCTATGTTGCTCGTAATATACATGTCATATAAATGTCTATTGGAGTGAGGGGAATAGTCTTGCACAAACTGAAGCCTTCTTAATTTCACAAATTCCATACCTTAGCGATGACTTTGGCCTTTTCTGAAATGTGGATACATTGAGAAGGCTCAACTACTCCACTGTAACCCTCTGCAAGAACAAGGTAAAATAGAGAGGACAATAATATTTTATTGTCTGTTAAAGTTATTAGTCCTGAAGACAATGACTGACTCCTTATGGCTTAACAACCTGTGCAGTAATCATCAGATTGCCAAAACCTCAGCAACGAGCACCCATAGACCTATTATATTCAGGATTATACTCGCTCAAGCCACCAAACTCCCCCTACTTATGACAAGACTCCTGGATTCAAACCATGCCCTAATATAAATTAATATTAAATCCAGTACTTGTATCAACTTAATTTGGGTTGAGGGTTAAATACTTGTACCCTGGGGTGACTTCCCTTTGGAGATGATGGAGGTATTCACAGTATTAAATTTTTCTTAAGGGGATCCAGGAACCTGGAGAACCTGAGTTCACGCCTTGCCCAGCCTGTTTACTGGATCATGTTCTCAGAAGTCCTGACCGCACATCTTCAGCGATGAAAAGAAGAATTTATTGCTATCCATGGGATTTGAAATCCTAGGGCTTGCTTAGGATGAAAATGAGTTTGAGCCAAGTTCTGGTACCATATCTTTCAGGTGTGTTTTCAAAATGTTCCTTAACAGACAATCACTCTGCTGCCTTGTCTTGAATTTATCATTTTGAGTATTAATTAACAAAACTGACAAACAGTCTGTTCCCAGCACAGAAAATAACTCAAAAGAGCTTGGCTTACCTTTATATGACCCAAGGCGGAATCCAACAGTTTTAGCTACACAAGAGAAAAGACATTAAAAAATCAAAACTTGTTAAAAATAATTAAAAATAAAATTATTTGTTTACCCATGGAGTACTTAGAAGTTCTTAAAAACTCCTTTAAAAGTGTCTGTGCATTCAGATCGAATTGGCATTTGGAAGTGTTGGTTTTTAAGGAGAACACCAGAGTAACCGGAGAAAAATCCTCTCAGAACAAGGGAGAAAATTAACAACAAACTCAACCCACAAACCAGGATCTGAACCCCACCCATATTGGTGCGAGGCGAGAGCTCTCACCAATGCACAACCCATGCTCGCCACAAAAAAAGAGAAAGAAAATGGCTTAAAGTCAGTGGTTTTGATGTAATCGTACACAAAAGAGCATCACCTTCTAAAAAACTGTGCAAATATGTGCAATATTGTTTGGAATCCCTGTGGAAATACCATGCAAGAGTGGACATTTTTTTATGTTTTGTGGAGTTTGTATATAAGGGCCAACTTGCAAATAGCATTACTTTTTGCAGGATGGATCAACTGTTGGGAGATCCAATTTGCTGGGAATTATGCTATTTGATCAAAAAAATTCTCTTCTCTGAAATTTCTCTCAAAAAGGCATCCTTTTCTCCCAATAATATCATATTAAAAAAAAAACAGAAATACTACGAATATTAGGGGCAATGCTGAATATGAATAATACTAATTATGAGGCCTTTGGTGCTTTCAAAAAAAATAATTTAATATCTCGTACATGTACAACTGAAGGAGATATTACCAACTGAAGCTGTAAAGATGCCATCAATCTTTACGGGTATATAAATAAAGTCAAAATCAGTGTGTACATACAGTTTTGACATCAGTCTTGAACAAATCCTTCACTTGAAAAACAGCCCTGTCACCCATTATACAGTTAGCTCTTTATGTACATGAGCATTGTGGAGGTTCGTGAGCTGTTGAACGCACACTTAACCTACCTCCATCAGGGCCTTCAGCAATTGTGAACTCACACTTATTTCGATAGCCGTCAAGAACAGGCTGAAATATTTCAAAGCAAAATTAATGATGGGATGAGGTCGGACTTCATGCAGAGTTTTGCCCATCACATTTTTAATTGAACTTCATTGTAGAGAAGGAAGGTTTAAGCCTCATGTACAACTGTACTTAAGGACCTTTGAAATGTCTATAACAACAGCTGTACAAAGTAACAGCTGAGGATGGAGAATGCAGCAACCCCATGTCAATTACTTTGGGGTTGACAAAGTTAATTATTATTTGAATTCATTCAAAACATTTCTCTGTTTCTGACTGGCTTAATTTCCCTGGGCTAATTCAGTATAACCAGCTAACATTGACCAAATAAGGAAGACATTTGCAGGGTTTTCATTAAGAATTCTAGCAGCAGGAGAAAGGTGTAACGTTACAGGAGAACATTTTGAAAGAGGCTCCACATCTGAGAAAAAAAAATTAATGGTCATAGGCTATGGAAAGTTAAAAAGAGACTTCTGTGTAGAAAAAGGAGAATTCTCTGATCTCTGATCCCTAATGAACACCCTGCATTGTAATTTTGCAACTGGTGACAACGACATCAATGGTACAGTATATACATCTGTACAGTAGCCAGAAAAAGGGACCACGACCGAGAAACCCTGGGTATGAGGTTGCATTAGCAGGCTGACATGCGTAATTCTTTAGATCATCATCAGTCTCATCCAATAATTGTGAACTGTTCACAAGTGTATTCCCCATAGGTTGGTTACTTCCAAAATGATGACAGTATTATTGTACAAGGACACTGGTAAGTACAATGAGGATTATTCAGCTTCAGTTCCTTGTTCATCTTCAAGGGGTTTGCAAGTAACAATTACTTTTGCTTGATTACCCAAACTACTCAAACTACTCTTATTATTAGTTTTTGGCTCACAAGCAGATTATTTTCTAAGAAATTTAGTTCAATCTGTAATAAATTTTACTCTTGGATTAGAAGAATGGAAGATTAAGGAAATTACTGTCTTGCTTCTATTTTCTATGATGTAAGCTTTTTTGGGGGTGTTCATGACACAACAACAGAAATAAAAATTACTGCTTGCAGTTTTTGCAATCCTTTGCCTTTTTACAGCTATATCAAAACAGACACAAGATCATTATTTTAAATAAATACTCACTGATTCAACACAATCAAGCAGTTCACAACAAAGCCCATCTCTCTTGGCACTGCAAAGAGAATTAAAAACAACAAAATACATGTAATCGCATTTACAGTATTTTCAGCTGCAAAAAAAATATATAATGAAGAATGCATGTAGTGGCTCTTTGATTCCCACTTACCTTTCTTCTTCAACCCAGTTGTTCTAAGGAATGAAAAAGACATGATAAGTACAACTTCAAAGAATAAGCAAAGTCGACCACTGCATGAGAGATAATTTCAAAGAAAACACCCAATATGAAGTGGACACTTGTCCTATCCCTAATAGCCAAAACCTTAGGATTGAAGTAAGCATGAACAGATCTACAACATTACATGAAGTCTTAAATAAATTAATAATATTATGCCATTCAAAGATTATAATGTTTGCTTTCAACTTGAAAGACATTATAGAGCTGTATTCATTTCAAAAAATTAATAGTCTGTTATGTTTCTCACTCTGACAAAGTACAGTCGGTTTGATGAAATCCTACATGTTGTCAGACATGACAACTGGACAGACCTAATAAGAAAGACTATCCCCTCGAAGGAGTAGATGTTGTATATGTACACTAAAATGAAATTCAGGTTTAAAAGGTTTCAAACAGTTGGAGTCTTACTGTAGTTTCCTTAGGTTACTAGCCGTGATTATTTTTGATCATAAATAATTGAGGCTAGGTGACAAAAGAAATTGAGAATCAAACTAGTTTGAAACTGGTTAATAAATATGAATTTCACTTTGAAGCGCAACATAGATCTACCTAATGGTACAGTTGAACCTCTCTACAACAGCCAGCCTTGGGGACAGAAGAAAGTGGCATATGGAAAGAGGCTTAAATAAGAGTCAATGTTCAGTGTAAAGCCTGTCCACAGAAAAAGTGGCCTTTGTGGAGAGGTGGTCGCGAGTGGAGGTTCGACTGTACTTAAGCAAGACTTGGTCGGACATACATGTGCATGTATACAGTCAGTGTAGATGTCTTCAATTTATTAAAACATACCTTGTATAAAAACCATAAAATAAATTGCATCCTTTTGCGATCAAACAAAGCTGATAACTACAATGATTTTTAATTAAAAATGCGTAATTGAAATAATGTTATCATATCTAATCACCTTCAGCACCATTATGGCTTTTAGCTTCTTAGTGAGCTTTTTTAAAATTTCCACCATATTTTTCTTCTTCATCTACATTTGTAAAAGGCAAAAACAGTGCAAGTTCATTTTTGTCAGCCAGAAACCTTTCTTACATGTATGTTAGAACTTTCATCAGAACTAATAATAGATTTAGTGTTGAAGTCAACTATCCCTTAAGAAGAGACATCTTCAAGAGTGACATACCCCTAAAACTGACACCTGGGGTTGATTCCTGGTACAAAATGGACACCTAATAGACAAATTGACATGACTGTCTTCTATGAGACATACTATTAATGGATGTTTAATTTTGAAACAGAATTCAGATGCTATTCATGTACATGTGTATGACAAAATAACACTGCGGAGTTAGTTAATATGTCTACACAAGACATGCACATGTGCATGGAAACGTTTTGCACTTGTTGATGATAATCAGCTTTACTCAGATTTTCAACCTTTCACAGTTTTAATCAGATTATCACGAACTAACTTTTGAAAGTAAAAATGAATATTAATTAAGGTACAATAAAAATTAATAAATTACATGTATGTAATATTTATTTACAGTAATACACATATGTAGTGTAATTGTAATACATGTATGTATGTATCACTTGATATGTACAGGTTTTAAAACACCAGTACAGTGTAACATACACACAAATTATCGGAGTTTACTTACTTCCATCTGTTGACTGTAAGGCTGGTTCCACAATGGAGTGACAACATGGTTCAACCTGGGAACAGAAAGAATTCAAAATGGAGTTTGGACTTTCCAAACTGACATTTACACAGACATACCTCTTCAGTAGGGGTACACTTGAAAAACAATACTTTCGTAGTGCCTGTAGAGTGTTCAGTTTTACCTGTTACCAATAATACCCCAACCTCTGCCCCTCCCAACGCCCCCACCTCAAGCAACTCCCAGGACAATTCCAGCCCTTCAGCCTAGCGGATGGAGGATGTCCACGGGCCCTGTCCCAGAGGTAGGGGGTGGGGCAAATCGCAGTTTGCACGATAGCTGAGGACTTCAAGACTACGTATTTTAAAGGGCAAACGCAGGAATTTGTTGGAAAGTGGTTGGAGAGGAATAACCTATCAGAATAAATTAAAGTCTGTATTTGAAAGTATCTTTTAAAATTCCAAATAAAAAAGGAGCCGTTTATACGGGATAGTTTGAGTCTTATTTAGGATGCGTCTTATTTTTCTTAGTTAAAACGGCACTATTGTGGTGCAATATTACCTGGGGTAAAAAAATGTACCTAGTGAAAAATTAAATTTACCTAAGAAAAAAAATTACGTGAAACATACACGAGGTCAATCAGATGCTCAGAGGCGGGAAATTGTCTCTTTTTACATGCCCAGGGGTGGGGAATACGCCACCAAGAAAGGAAAAAATTGCAAATCCCCAGGGGTATGCCGGGGGAGTAACAGGTCAAATTGAACCATGCATTATTGCACTGCTTTCTTTTAACTCATATTTAATAACACAAAGTACTTTGAAGATTTTCCACAAATTTGAAGCAGGTATAAAATTGGCATTGACAGCATGCTGACAAGTTTTAATGGCAGCTTCAGCAACAGAATCCATCAGAAGAAGTAAATTTTACCTGACTGAAATAGCAAGTTCTTCACCCTCATCATTATCATCTACTTTAATCCTCTTGGCATCAATATTTGAACGAGCAGCATCTGTTAGTGTAACAAAGCAGAGCTTGAATAATAATTTTTTTTCCAATCCTGCAAATTAACCCTACAATCCTCTATACTGATCAGCCTTTCCATTCAACTTATGCAGGTAATTATGATTCTGTCAACTAAGACCATTGATCTCCACAAAGTTTCTGGCATCTTTCCTTTTGACCATGACAATGGAGGGCAGTCATTTTGGTAGTCAAGATACAAGGTATTTTCAGAGTCTAAGGGATCAATTACCAACAATACAATGACCTGAAAAATGTGAAAAAACGTTTTTTTCGACACTTTACACTCTCCTGAAACTACACGTAAAACTCCTTCCCTTCATAAAACCTTTAATTTGTAGTGTTTTAGATTAACTATCACACACACGTGAACAGACCAGGGCATCTCCCCCTCTTTTGCTCTACAGAAAGGGAAGAGAAGGGAACTTGAAAAAGAAGATTAAAATGACTTATTTTGTCAAAAAAAAAACAACTGAAAATGCTTTTCTGAAGATCCAGTCCACTGATAATATGTTCCAGAATTTAGCTGTTGCAACACTAAAAGATGGATCACAATAATATTATTTTTTTAGTCTCTACATCGGAATTTGTAGAAACTTGAGAAGCATCAATGTTATGGAAAAGGGTCATGAGAATTAAAAGCCACAGAAGTGATCAAGAATGAATTGACATCTTTAACAAAGAGAGAGCAACATTATTTTATGCACGCTGATATATTATTACAGCACATAAGCTTAACTCTTGTGCTAACCTTGAATCATCCTTTTTCTTGCCATTCCTTCAGCTCTTTGAACGGCAAGTGGATCAGGTAGAGGCTGAGCAGTCTAGAAAAAAAAAATGAACAGATGAATTAAAATTGTCTGGTCTGAAAACCTTGCAAGGAATACTGTTTGACAACAAATAATATATTTTATACCAGACTGTGCAATTCACATAAATAAATGCTGTAACTTGATACAGACAGGGTTATCCAAAAAAAAAAATTTAAAAAGGCTAGATAGCATCTAATTGCAGCATAGATCAAAAGACATGTCAGCATAACTGGGTAGGGTTAAGAGGGGGGCATAACATCTGAAAAAAAAACATAATTATGATGTATTTTCATAAAGGACCACTGATTTTACGGGATGCTTCAGTCATGCGAACACTAGATTTCAGTCAATGTTTCACAAGTTTTTTTATACTGTAGATTTACACAGAATTTGCTTACGGGCAAAAGTATGTAGAGACTTTTAGTTTTCATCACTTCGTTCATTGGTGGTAGGAATTGGTTGTGTGACTGATAAATCGAAAGTTGAATGAAAGTTACATTTTCTTGAATGAAAAACACCCTATCTTGTCCCAAGTTTAGTGCGCAGAACACACTGAAAATCGCATTTGAGGAATCTGAAAAATTACAGTCAGTTACTCTATTCAAACCTGCTGGCAACTTCAATTTTTAATGAAACCCCTGCTGCCACTAGAAAATCTTAAGTTTTTGGGGGGTTCCTGAAAAAGGCATTTCAGTTCATTTTGAAAAACCAGGGAAAGAATTTTCAGCCATGAAAAAAGCACCTTTCCTCACCCACATTATTAGGTTTATTTCAAACCACATGTAAACTTCTGCTTCTCACACACCACTGGTAGCCATGCCAAGCCGACCGCCGCAGCCTGACCTTTATTTTAAACTCAAAAAATGCATACATATCATAACCTTAGAAAGGTAGGACACTAACAAAAACTACAAAGTTGCACCGTACATTTAACAGCATACAAAACTGAAATCATAGGGTGGGTGGGTGGGAAGGTCAGTAATGGCGGACGCAACAAAAGCAACTGCCCGCCCTTCAGTCACATGACCTATACCCAGGCTCCCAGCGGTGTGTGAGAAAAACATTTTCCACTTAATTCATTACACTCAGCCAGTGGAAAATTACCCTTAGACTTGATGGTGATATTGGCTGGTTGCCGACGCATTGCCTCACTGCTAAACCTCAAACAATAATTTCAGTGGTGGCTAATTAAAGCAATTTTTTTGCACTAAAGAGAATTTTGCAGAAAACCAAAATAATGGCCACCAAACACCAAACAACTCTGAAGTTGAATGATTAGGGTTAGAAAACTGAGTGAATCAATTAATTTTCAGTTCAGTTTGCCTTGTATAATGACCACTTCTTGATAACTTAATAGCTACCATATCACATCTTGATAATACACTATACATGTACCTTGGCAGAAAGCACTTTTCCTTTCCACTTGTGTCCTGATAATGATCTGATAGCCAACTGAAAGAAAGAACTCACATTAAAGTTGTCTTGCATTAAATCAATTTACTACACAGTGATATGAGTAGAATACAGACAGTACACTGCAGAAGAATACAAAGAGCATCTCACCCGCCTTTCCTCTTCATTCCTAAATGGAGTAAAGAATAATAAATTTTTTAGTTCAGAAAATTGTAGCCATGTAATGCTTGTTGTCATTATCACAAATGCCTGTCATACAAGCTACAGCTGTACTAGAAGCTGTATGACATTATTCTGGTATCTTTTGGATCATGAAAACAGTCTGTAATAGAAAAGTGCCAACATTAAAAGGTGGTCCATAAGGGAGATGGTCAATTGCACAAGTCATGTAGCACTTACCATTAATCTTTGTGATATTGACCCTCATGGTTAACACATTTGAGATGCTGGCTAATAAACTAGCATCATTTGGATTAAAAAAACTCTTAATGCTAGAGCTGGAACTAGTCTAAGGGTGCATTCAATCTTATATTGTGATTTTATGGCCCACTAGAATACCGCATTCATCACGATCAGAAAATTAATTTTATTTTTAGAAGAATTCTAGATATTGCTATGCAATGAATGCCAGAGCAAGTGATTTCTATGGTCAATCAAACAAGCCCCATGTAAAACCATCTATTTTATTATTAATTTAAAAACCTAGTGGCTATAGTGGTCTTAGATAAAATCCATTCCCAGGTAAAACAAGTACATATAATCAAACCATTACACCTGGACAGTGCAGGGTTAACTTTTTGCATGGGTTCTCACTATGGTGGCCTAGGGTTAAAATACTGATTTAACCTGAGAAAGTGTTGCCTCTACAAGGGTAACAATAATTGCAACTTGTTGAATTTGGTTATTACTTTGAAATACACATGTATTTAGGAACTACTTGACTCCTGCAAAATAAAAGCTAATTTCATGCCCTTTGCACACAAAGTATTGTTTCTACTACAACATATATGGTAAATTAATATTAAAGGTACACTGTACCTGAAAGTCACATAAGCATGGGTTGCTCCTGGAGGCAATTTCACCTTCACTGGTCTCACGTTGAGCCGGTTAGCAATCATTTTCTTGAATTGCTGAGTAAGAACAAGAAAAATGTTGATTGATCATCTGGGCTTATACAAATTCCTTTCATATAAGTATGTACAAATGCAAAATGTAGGTTCTGAATGGGTATGTGTCAGACAAGTCACCAAATTTGGTCATTCTATGCTAGACCTGTAGACCAGTTTCAACTGTACACCTGTGTTTTGCGTGTGCTTTGAATAACACATAAAGCTCAGATTTTTCAGTGACTTACATGTATCGCAACATACATAGTAGCAGCCACAATCAGGGACAAAAGTAGTTGACACACTTGTTGAAAAGGGGTGCTTTTAACAAACATTTAATTCATTTATTATTTCATTCCTTTTAAAGGCCGTAAATCCCCCGACCCCCCGAATCAATGTTGTCTGAAGTAAAAAAAAGATTTGAGGGTCCAAAATTCAACATTGATTTTGGGGGGAAGGGGTTGGGGTAGACAGGGGAAGGGGATAAGTATATCCACTATGCAAAAAGGGGCCATTTTACGGAAGTGTGTCAACACTTTTGTCCCTCATTGCATGTCTTATTGTTTTCTAGTGGAGTGGAAAACATGGTTTATGGCTCATTCCTGCTGCAATTTGTGTTATAAATCATTAAAAAACCCATCTAAGATAACAGCTACAGTATTTATGCCATGGGAGAGAAATAAAAAATATTATTATTCATTCAAAATATTTCCCCGATTCTGACTGGCTAAAGGCCCACACATAAGTCACCATAACCAGTTACTGATGACCAAATTTGGAAGAATTTTGTGTTTAACGAGGAGATGACGTCAAAAATGCAGTGTTCTTGCAGGTTAATGCACTGTTAACCGAGAAGACCTGGGGTCGACGTTGAGTTGTTTTGGTTGTAAAACAAAAAATAGCAGACATTTCAATTGTTTCAAGAGTAAGAACTAGGCAAAATTATGGCTAAAAACATGGCATGAACAGCAAGAACACAACTCGAAGGGTGACATCTGTTATTTGGAGAATATTTGTGGAGCTGAACAACCCTAAACATGCACTATCGAAGGTGAACTTCACATCGATGGAGGTAAGCATGTTTTAGCTTTGCTTTTAAACTAGGAATAATTTTGAATGAATAATAAAACAGTTATTGAATTTGGCTTTCATATCATATGAAGAATTATGCAGATATCGGAGGGCGTTATCCGCTCGGATAACACCCTCCTCGATCTCCATAATATTCTTCATAAGATACTCAGCCTCATTCATTAATTGTTAAATAACACACTTATACATACACTTTACAAGTATGGTGGATTCAAAAATCTCAATGCGCCTTTTCTACCAATGAAATCCTTTTGATGCTCTTATTAAGGTTTGATTTCAATATCATCCATCTTGGTATCTTATTCAAATAGTTATTTGTGGCCCTTTGTAAAGATTATTTTGATCCTTTTCCTCTTTTCACGCATTCTACGAGTACAGATGCAGTGACTTACCTTGTAGCCACACTTCCTTGGTAAATTTTGCAGTTCAATCTTGTAGATCTCTGAAGTAAATTCATCCCGTTTAATGTAAAAATAAGGATCAGATTCAATCTCTTCTTCATCCGGTTCGTCGTTTGCCACCTCCTCACCATCTTTACCATCATCTTTGTCACCCTCCTCGTTAACTTTGTCGTCGCCCAAAGACGATTCTTCTTGCATTGCAGCAACATCAGAAGCTTCACTAATACTTGACAACCCCAATCCATCCATAGAGCTTGATTCAACAGCATTAACTGTTTCTGAACTTGTTGGCTGCTCGTTAGTCTCTGTGTCTAACGTTGCATAGCTTCCACAACTTGTAGCAGTTGTTGTTGTCGACGAAGTGGAAGTCCATGAAGAGGCTTCTGTTTGCACCTTCGCGAACTGAAACAACGGTGGAAAGCCAGGAATAGGAGTTGATACTTCTTGCTTAACTTCTTGCTTAATTTCTTCATCTGGAAAGACAGCCTGGTTGCTGCTCAAAGATGTTTCTTGCTGAGCAAAATCGTCCCTATCGCAACTTCCGTCCGCCATGTTGGTATTAAAATAGACAGTGGTCACATGGAACGCATGTTTTTCCTTGTTGAAGTTTGTTTGCCAGAACTCGAACGAGTGCAAAATTAGGAAAAACTCAAATTCTACAGTTTTCTTACGAGCTGCCAATGATCTATGGTACTGGTCGTCTAAAAACAAAAAGCACAAGTTAATCCAATGCGAAAGCGCACCACGATGTTGGTTTGTACTTCATGCAAGTACGCCATTTAGTCCCCGCGTGTGATGCTCCATCCCAGGTCCTTCGCTCCAGTACCCAGTCTGGCGCCAAAGCGCAAAGGAAAAAGGGAAGCCACACCACGAGGTCGTTGTTTTTGTTGGTCGAAATATCCGGGAGCGGGGTTGGTCGTATTAATCGGAGATTCAGGAGCATGGTACAATGTCGGTAACATTAGACAAAGAATGGAATTTTCTTCGCGCCATACAAAAATGATTGTAATCAACAGTGGGGTCCCATTTCGTGTAGTGTTAAACCTAGTAGCATTTTGCATTTTGTCGTCGTTTAATAGAGGTGTTTCACAAACACCTTACCAGAGCTCGGTCATGACCTTACATGCAGTAGTGAAAGGAGTGTCTAAAAGAGGACAAAAAGAGAAAAAAAGAGCCAAATTGTTATTACATAACCGCTGAAGGCCTGCGTAGCAGGCGCTTGGAAGTAGTGGGCGTAAGAAAGAACGAGTGCGCGATAGTGGGAGCAAGAAAGAACCAGCGCGCGAGAGGGAGACGTGCGTATCTCCCTCTCATGCACCCGTTCTTTGCTGGGCCTGCTACGCAGGCTAAGCCGCTGACTGAAGAAAACACAGGCTCTGTCTCCAAAAATAGGCACTAATTCTTAGAAGGAATGTGATGTGGTTTTCAAGAATCAAGGGAAACAACTACTTTTCATCTAATGATATTCAGAGATCATTGTTAAGAACTGTTTTAGTCAAAACAACTCTTTCTCATAAACAATGTAACAAAAGTCGCTGATGAGCTCAGTCGAACTAGATCGCAAGCACTCAAAGAATTAAGCTTGACTTGCACAATGAAAACGTCCACTTTGCTTCTTTTTACAGCTTTTCTTGTCTTTTGTACAGGCCCTAACAGCACACAGGGGAGAACAGAGGGTAGGTTTATTTAATTCAATTGATTTAATTAATGTTTATCCAACAACATTGTGGGTTTTGTCGACTCCCTGATATTGGTTTTGAGGGTGCGGCTATTCTACACGACTTTACTTAAAGGGAACTTGAACGACAGTTTAGTCCGACAGAAGACTTCAGATGTATTATGAAAGTCACTGGCGAGGATCGTTCACATGATATATAGTGAAAGCACGGACTAGCTGGCATAGTATATTCATGATTTGTAGCCAACTAAAACGGTTACGTTGTTATCAGTGCGGATACTATACTCCCTCCCTTCTTGCAGTTACTCGTACTTTCCGGCACTTCGACGCCTATTATTTCTTCCACGTGTTCCTTGACACTCAGAATTTCCCCCAGAAGATACCAAATACAAGGAGAGATTAAGACCTCAGGAGTTTTAGTTCCATAAAGACTTAAGACTGACTTTTAAAGGCGCCATCATGTAGAGCTGAAAGAAACTTGATTGCTAGTACCCTGCGAGCAGTCTCGACTCTGCTCGCAGGGTAGATTGCTAGTGGCTCATTACGTTAATAAGTTAATACTCATCAGTGTTTGGCTCATGATTTGGATGATTGATGTTAAAAACGGGTAGCGAAATGTATCAGGATTTGCTGGAGGTTTTGCAGTAACTGTAAATCAAAAGTATTTATTTCATCAGGTCCAAATGTTGTAAAGATTGGAGAAAGTTTTGGTCGACCGAGCTTCTACGAATATAATTCAAGTTGCCTTCTAGTGCTTCTATAGTAATTTGAAATCCGCTCAGTCTAGAAATGTCACGATGGCACTTCATAATTGCACTTCTTCCATTTGTTCATGGCCGTAAAGCCTTAATAACATTTAGGTCTTTTTGTATGACTTAATTTGTTAAATATGTATAAATCTTAGTACCCCTAAAAGAAACATGCTTAGTCCGCTTACTAATAAATAATTAAAAGAAGGTAAAGTCACACAACTAGATAAATACGAGGCGGTAAATGATCGCATGATAAGCAATACACGCCACGGCATATTGCACGGATAACCTAAGGGTTTATTATAGTCATTATATGCAAAATGAAATTTATCTAAAAAACGAGTCAGTTAAGAAACCACACAGCTATTTACAGTGTATTCCGAGCGGAGAAAAAGCGAAAAATCAACTTAGACCACAATGTGTTTGGCTATTGTGGACATGTTGGGTTGGTTTGAATGACAGATGGTGACTTGGACCACATGTTTTAGATGTTTTTGTCACCAAGTACACCATCTGGCTTCTGACAAGTGCCCTTTAATATCAAGATTATGATTATATTATTTCATTATGATCGGGGAAGGGGGAGGGAGGTAATATGTCAGTGAGTATAACCGTTCTTTCCTAGCATTCAGGAAATACATAAACAAAGCTAGAGGCCGTTTTTCTTTCAATTCTGTGTGTCAGCAGAGAAATAACAATCTCTATATATGGCAGCATATCAACTAGAAAACCTCAACCTCGTCCCCAGGGCTTTTCCCTTAAAAAATGGGTGGAGCGCCCATCCCAGTTTTTAAGGGAAAAGCCCTGGGGACGAGGTTGAGTAAAACGAAACAGAGTCTTTTTAAAGTTCTCACATGAAACATTTAAACTTAGAGCGTGGAACAAGCTGGGAATTTCTCCCGCTGGTCCTGAAACGAGCGGTAAAAGGTTCCTTTTTGGCCATAATAAATCCTTATCGACAAAGCTTATTCCTTCAAGGTGACTGGATATTGGCATCACGTTTTTATTGACCTCGACTTCTTCTCGCTCCATAAACACTCAAAGAAGAACTATATCCGGCTATCTTGACCTTCCGAGTGCCATGGTCAGTAATGCATATGTGGTCCATCTTACCGCCAATCAGAACACAGGATTAGCTTCATCTTGCTCACTTGCTCGCACATTCAATCTTACATTAAAGACACTTAGCGACGGATCTGGAGTACACTGTAAATCAGAAAGATCTGTTTTAGCCCTAAAAATGAGGTTGTTTTGGTGAGTAAAATACAGTCCTATTTTTGTGTCTAATTTGGCTCCCTTAAATCAGGGTCAATAAAGTCCAATTATCCAGGGCTGATTTGGACCCCAGCGTGGGCTGGAATAGCTCCAGAAGTGGTTTGAATTGGCACTTTGGGGCTGAAACAGATCCTTTTAATTTTCAGTGTAGTCTGGGTTCAAGTCTTCGCTTCGCGTTTGTCCCTTTCAGTCTTTCATCAATAACTTTGCTCCATTTTTTCTCTCTTCACCCGGGGGTACTTGGTTATGGGCAACGTACTGCTAAGGGAAACCCTGTAATCTTCTAACTTCTCATCCAGGGCGGGGGGTGGGGAGTAGAAACAATCATAGATTCTCCCTCCTACAGCAAAAAAAAAAAAGTTAACTTCCGGACGTGTTGGCCTTGTGCAGGTCTAAAAGGTGTCTGTCTTATAGGTAAACGAGAAACGGCTTTTTATTTTTTCAGGGCTTGTGAATGTTGACATCACAGTGAGCACTAGCAAGCTGAATGAAACCAAACAGTTTTACACCAAGTTCTTGAAATTTCAAGTGGTGAAGGAAACCCCAGGATTTATCTCCTTTTCGCCTGGACCAGGTTGTGGAAAAATCTCTACTTTTAATACTACTTACAGTGCTTAGCTAAGATTTTTATCAGACTGGCTGTAATAAAGGCCAAGGTCACAAAATTATAAACAGAGGTAACACAGATGAGAAATTGTCGTGTTGAATAATTGCAGCTCGTTAAGAAAATATCTACTTATTCGTGTTTCAAAAAACAGAAAGATTTTGCTCAATACTTGCACGTTTGATCGGCCCGGCTTACTCTAAGCAGAATTTCACCATCAATATCAAACTGAACTAAGGCATACACACAGAAGAATGGTTATGAAAACCACATAAAACGTACTTTCGGTCCTTAAACCAGAATTTTAATGGTGACACCTTTTTTCAATGGTCAATTTTAAATATATTGACTGACCATCTTGATAATAAACAGTTAAATTTGCGTTTTTTGGTTTTGCTACGCGCCTCACAGATCAATCGTGTGCGATCCACTCATTTGCCAATCTTCTTTCATTACAGGTGTGGCTTATCTTGACTTTGTCGTGGAGGGTGCAGAACATGCATGCGCTAGACCTCAGCTGGCCAAAAATTTCGCGGGCAAAGGCATGTTCCTTACTTACAATCTGGGAGATGTGGATGCTGCGTGCGCGGCGTTTACACAGGCAGGTTATCCATTGGCAATGCCAATTAAAACTGAGACCTGGTTTGAACGTCACTGCTACGTCATAGATCCAAATGGGATACCGTTGAATTTGGCCCATTGGAATCACACTCCAGCCGAGCCTACAGGTAAAAAGTATCCATTGAAGGCTACAAGATAATAGTCTCTTACTTCTATGCTCTTACGAGAGATGCACTGCAAAGCGCCGATCCTTGCGTCATCATTTATTTAATCACTTTTTAGAGCCTTACTGCCGCCCAGGTTCTGTTTTACGTCACATTTTTCTTGTAGACTAGCGTTGATGGGAAAATGACTGTTCTGCATTTGAACACTAGCGCACATCTCGTATGAAATCGAATCTTGTTTACGAACTTGAAGCGGAGGTAGACATATCTACAAAAAATTGCTGCGCAGTAGTCTAAATCGTAAATTGTATATAGTTGCCAGTTTGAGATATCCTTACAAATGAACAGACGGAAGAGCCTGTGGAATATCACAAGGGTTGTACAGTTGTCAATTGATTGTGTCGTTAAACTTAACTTAAACAGGAGCCCATGTTACGGCTGCTAATCAAAACCGAAGAGATTTATTTAGCGGACAAAAATAGACTGCTTAAGAGGAGGAAGATAAACAGAATTAATCAGAAGGCATGAGGGCGCGTCATGATAGCCTCTAACTCTGATTGGCTAATGAAAAAGCTTGGCAAGGGAGACCGTTTACTTCAGTCTTTTCTTTGTTAATAACAGGTGTCAGCAGTATGGCATTTTATTACACCTCGCATGACTTGCTAGAGATACAAAATTGGTACAGCAATAACTTGAACATGACCGTGGAAAGAGGAGTGGACTGGATTGGATGGGTGATAACGCTGATCGCCGCAAATGGCACTGTGGAGTTTCGGCCATTCCATCCACGAAACATGACCTACAACCCAGCCTCCTTCATTCCTCATTTGCTGGAAGAGTTTGACGGACACGGCCTGTCTTACACCTTCAACTTTAATACTTCACTTGAGGTCGACAGGTACGCTTGTCTATAAAGACATTAGACTTTGTTTTACGCTTTAGCTTGTGCAATATATGATGTTAGAATTAAGATCTCAATGCACGCGAGCACTGGATTAGAATAGTCAGTCAAGCACGTGTTTTGTATAGGATTTCAGGAGTATAGTTTTGAAAGACACTCATCTCGATAATGGACATCTAGAAAAATGCTTTTTAACTGAGTGTAAGACAAGTTGTGCGAGGCTTTTTAGATTTCTCTCGGATTAGCTCATATGTCGTGTACTTCGGAAGTTTTCACTCTGTTTACCAGGGTTCTTACTCTCATTAAGAGATTTTACTCACAGATTTCGGTCTGGAATTTTTTTTGGATTCCCTTCACACCAACATATGAGGAATATTAAATTTTTCTCATTCATTAATAGAGTAGCTTGCAAAGCAGGCGTATTTTGCAGTGCCCTCGTCCTTGCCCGCCCCTCCTACCTTAGTTTTCCAGTTGCTTTTATGATGGCGGCCATGATCACTGTACCTCTAGGTCGCGCTTTCGTTCGTTAAAAAAAAAAAACGCCTGCTTTGCAGCCTATTAATAGGGCGGAAAATTTACTACCTGTACTGTTTTATCACGCATTGCACTTGCGTCTGATTGGTTCTTTGGTGCTTCGTCGCTAACTGTATTTAGCTAAGCTAATCACTTTGGGTTGGGTTTTACAACATTTTCGATCTTTAACACCCTATTACTGGTAGTAATCTGACCGTATTTTGGGTGGTCGTTGGCTTAGCAGGAGAGATTCGTTGTACATCAATATCAGGTAATCATAATCAATCAAAAAACAAAACCTTCTTTTATCGATCTCTGTTCGTCTCTAGATGGTGCCAGTTCCTGCAAGATCGCAATCTAACCTGGACACGCCCGCTAGGCTGGGTGGGAGGCAGCAGGCGCTGTGCGGTGGACGATCCCAACGGTGTGCTTATTAACATCGCCACACCCGGGTGGAATGAGTATGAAGAGGAGGTTAACTGCTCCCAACTATTCCCTAACGAATCCTCGTCCACTCCACCCTTTTCTAACGCAACCTCGTCCCCTGGGAATAAGGGTGACCCTAAGGGTGAGGGGGAAATACAACGAGGGTGTGTTATTACCTTGATTACAGCTCTCGTGCTATCGCTGTTATTTCCTCTGTAGGTCATTAGAAACCTACGATAAGTTTGCAGTTATTCTGGATAGATACATTAGCAAGTAATGTAGTACATGTATTGGAAGTATTTAGTTTATAAAAGTAATGCCAGCCGCCCTTCACTCCTCATAGTAGGGAAATCCGAATCTCACCAAAAAAAAATAAACATTTGATTTCATTGTGAAATGATGCCAGACCAAGAGAAAGGATTTCCTCCAATGCCTTACATTTTAAACGTCAGATTTGTTTAGTTACAAATCCCTAATAAGTATTAGGAAAACCAACTATGTCATCCACTGAATAGAAACTTATCCAGTAGATAACGTTATCCCTCTTTTGTAACAACTGGGGCCTGAACCTTTTCAAGATTACATACCGCCGAAAGTACAATTCCATCAAGAACATCTTTCGACCAAAGCGTTTGGTGTTCTTGCGCACGCATGCATTGGTTTTCGATTGAAAACGTTATTGTAGGATGTCTAAAGAGAAACAAATCATTGTATTCTTTCTTTATAAAAAGCCTGGCGGCATGCATGAGGCGGGCGGGGGGGTCCTAAAAGGACTAGTCATGTGGGCGGCTGAAGGAAACATTTTTATTTAGTTAAAGAGCAATCAGGAGACACCTTTTGACTAATTATTATCTACAAAAATTGACATAAATAAACAGCACCTTAGTTGCAGTGAATGTTTCAAATAGTTGGCGTTCTAGCACTTTTAGTTCAGTTACCTGTAAACGCAGTCTAGCCTTTACCTATTGTTTTAATTCGTCTGATCCAGGATGATACTGTGAGATCAAGAGCAAGCTTTACATAGTAAAATTACTAATCGCCAAAGACTACAAAGCTGTTTTGTTTGATTTGAAAGGTAGAGCTAAGTATCTCAGTAGATCCAGAGCGGTAAATTCCCGGGAAGGGAATTTTCGCACCAAAAATACCGTGCTCGTTGGAAAATTTGAATTAAGCCCCTCAGTGAAGAACAAATCTGGGTGTGGGTCCAGCTTGATTTGACCACTGACTCAGTCAAGGAGCGGTCGCGGGAGACTATTACGGCACTGGTGCTAAGGGGACGATGGGAAGGTGGAGGAGAAAAGAAAGTCTTTGCTCCTTCCCATTATCCCCCGCACTTCCCTTTACCATGCTTCTCTAATAATTTTAATAGGAGACTGAGAGACCTCTGATGACGAGTAAGGATTTGACCCCAAAACTCCAACACAATAACGGCATTTGCTACTTTTATTTAGCTAAATCATTATGCACGGTCCTGAGCAATTTTTTATGGGTTAAAAATAATCTCTTTCCTTTCTGAACACCCTAAGTCAGACCAAAATCTGAAATTTCTACTCCTATAAATGTGACCACGAGCATCACCTTCATTTTCATATGGGAATCCGGCTAAAAACGATTATTGAAAAACTAACTACAGCTGATCTGTTTTTATTTTGATGCAGTTAATTTAAATGGAGTAATCTGGGGAAAAGAACGGGTTATGATATACAATGTACCATCGGGGGTTTACGTAGTTTGCGCGACATGCTCTGCTCCTTAGCTTTGAAGGGTGGAAGACATCATTTTTACGCACTGGATCAGCCTTTAGATTTCCGTGAGAGTTAATACTCCATAAAAATAGAAAGTCGATCAAGGGCTTCTTCAGGGAAGAAGTATAAAGATCAGCCAAACTGGAACCAGAAATATCTCCGGGTGGCAACATTTTCTAGTGTCTCGAGAGCCCTCTCTGAAAGGTATTGGGCTCAAAGGGCTGCGTTCAGTATTAGTTCCTAAATAAAACTACAAGCAGAAAAATTTCTGTTCATCCCTTACAGTAAAAACCCGCGTATAAGAACCTAGGTTTTTCCAAGTTAGCCTAAACAGGTTCTTATATAAATGGTATTTAGTGTAAAATTAGGCTAAGTAGGTTCTTAATTAGGTTCTTAACTTTTGTTCAAGAAATAAAGCTGAATTTTTAAATGATCTGGTGTTTAATGTCCAAAAACAGTATTCTTGGAGGCTTCGTTAAGCAAAATACTATACTATTTTAATCTGATTCTGTTACAATCAAACCTATGGTAAAGTTTTATGTAACCATGCTATAGCGTTTAGAGTATTATTGCATACAGACTGTGTTATATATATACATTTTTTTTTTGAGAAAATTTCTTAATTCTATATTTTTTTTTTTTGAAAATAAGAACCTGTTTTAGGATTTTAGCCTAAAATGGTTCTTATGTGAAGGGTGCTTAAAAATGAAATTTTAGCCTAACAGGTTCTTAAATGTTAGGTTCTTATACGCGGGTTTTTACTGTATATCACACTGTTTCTGTTCCTCAAAAATCCTGCATACATTGGAGAAGGTGAAATTTTGCAAGTCCGTTTCAAACGTCTTTCCTTCCTCTCTGCTAAGCTGGCTCGACCGAAGCTGAATATGTCTCTAGCGCGACAGTTTCAGTAGCCGTTGTCGAATCGAAAACAAAACAAAGAAATAAAAACTAAACGGTTCAATAAACTTTAAAATACTTTCTAAACATTTTAATACATTTGTAGTATATAATTGAGTTTGACACGACAATAGAACGACGTTTAAGTGGAATTCAAGTAGTGTAGCAGAGCAATTAGCGCACTAATAAACGTTCTGCGCGTGAGTATAGTAGGCAGTGAGCCCGACTGAGTTCGGTAACGCAGCAGATGACTACATTTGAAACGCGCTCCAAGCCGACGAATGGCTAAGTGTAAGATCGCGAGGCAAAACAAATTGAACCAAATTAAGGGAAATCAGTTTTTTACCTGATTAACTGCCATGCGTAAAGATTTAATTTTCACTTCGTTGTAGAATTTCAGACTCCTGCTTGTATCAGACGACATTTATTATAACTAGAAACTGGATCGATTAGTTTCGGTTTATGGTCAATAGAAGAGGGTCCTATATTATGGCAAAGCTATTTCATTCTGGAAAATCGAATTTTTCGAATTGAAACTACCGTATATTTTGGGGCACTAAGCCAGACCCTGGTCGGCTAACAGAGGTCCACGCATTTTTTTTTTTTTTTTTACTATCAACGATATAAGCAGACACCATGTAGGCATGAAAAATACTTCCACTAAAGCAGTTTCAGATATTTTATTTCATTTTTTTTTTCTAGCAGTCAACGTTTTGCTTAAGGGGATGTTACAAAAATGCAAATTTTACACCGGTACTTCATTCTAAACAAATAACACGCTCAATTTTCAAACAAACAGACCATGACAGTGACTTCCGCATCCAATTTTTTGAGTAAAGTTTTTAGTAAAATCGAAAATTTTTTACGCAGGCTTTACCAACTCGTGCATCATTCATTTTTTTTCCTAGTATCTTTGGCTATCTTAGAAGTTAAAATTTACAAAACTAAAGGGCATGACTGTGAACACCATATTGCGTTTTGAGTGTTTTTAGAAAGCTTAAATCGAGAACTCGCCACGTTTACATTGGGAATTTACTACAGACCCATTGAAGCATGCAACTCGCGACAGACAGAAACGACGACAATTTTAGACTGGGTCCTGTTTCATGATATCGTTCTTAGGTTACTTGAAATGTGTTTATCGTTAAGAGAAAACAAAGTTGCGGTAACTGAAGAGAAATGCGTAGAAGAGCGCATTTCACTGGCGTCATTAAAAGAAGACACATATTGAGTAAAACAAGTATACTATGTACAATCCAGGTCAGGTCTACTCGTAAAACTTAGACTTCCCTCGGAGTGTCCGTCTTCACCATACGATAAAGCTACTATAAAACAGAAATCGAACACGGTAAAATTCCCACATCACCCTCCCTGCACCTTACCGAACCTTTGCTTCTCGCTACCACCTCTCTCCTCCCTACCCCAGTCAAAATCACTCTTTTGTAAAACAATTGGTCTGACGAGAAAATTTATATTATGCATGCAAAGGAAACAAAGTAAAAATTGCTTTAATTACAAAAGAAGCAAATTTCTTCGAAATATCGGGACGTTTGAAGAACGGGGGTAAAACTACTGTGTTTGACTGGTAAAGGGAATTTAGGTTTGGTTCAAAATATCGGGAATTTAAAAAAAAAAACCGAGAGTTCGAGAAATCGTGATTCTACTGTACTTCACTGATTGCTCTGAACAATAATATGCGAGATGGCTTGAAAAATCCACGTCTCGCTCAACCAGAAGCTGCATGTAGGTTAATTCATTGCCGTCCCTTTGCTCACGATTAACCCTTGAATTTTCCGCCAGAAGACGAAACCTTTTTTTTTTTTTTTTTTTTTTTTTTTTTTTTTTTTAATTTTTTTATTTATTTACAACACAAGCACTACTTACAAAATGTTACTTAACACAACTTACAGTGCTTACACTACTTACAACACCGTACTCATTACTTTTTTTTTACATAGAAAGAAGAAAAGAAAGTTACAATTACAATTATTGACGACTAATAACTTAAACTAAAGTGATTACTAACATAATTTACAATACTAACACTATAAACACAGTGGCAACAGAAAAGTATAAGAGGATTATATATAGATTAAGTATAAGTGTTTTTTTTTTTATTTAGAAGGATAAGTAAAGAGAACTGAACGGCCTAGACTGTAATAATAATAATACTAATAATAATAAAGCGTTACGCGGTGCACAATATCGCCCATTTTTATAAAAGTCACTTAAAGTTCTATTTTTGGTACAAATATATTTTTCTGTTTCGAATTTAATATTAATCCTTAACTTAAACCCTGCAATAATTGGACGAGTTTGTGATCTTCTGCAATCCCATATATATAGTTTGGCTATTAGTAGAAAGTAGTTCAGTAAAGGGCATTGTACGGCTATTATACCTAATAGCACATCCTGTAGACTAAGGTTGATCAATTCATTTGACAACGAGTAATAATATAATTCAAAATCCTTCCAGAAAAGTTTTGCATATACACAGTCAAAAAGAAGGTGGATAAGGGTTTCCAATGCCCCTTACATTTAAGGAAACTAATTTGCACGTGCTAGCGCACATTTCAG